CGCACTTTAGCGTCGCGCGTCTCGTAGGAAATGAGCCATCAGACTTTGGTGTGACCATCAGACTTTGGGGTCCGTAAAGACAACGAGCCATCGGGGTTTGGCGCAGACCATCGGGTTTTGGCGAGACCATCAGACTTTGGCGTCACCATCGGACTTTGGAGTCTTACATATACATGTAATGTGTGACCTTTAAAATCATTTTAACAATGTGGGATTATTTTATACAGTGATTTGATATTTTTGTTTGATTTACAGTAATTAGGGGGTTGCTGATCAATATAGGGTCTGAAAACTTTAATCAGACTATTTTTTAACAGTTGTTTGGAGACTAAATTTGCAAATATTGTAAATATATGGTATGGGTCTGAGGGCAGTATGCATTTTAATTTGCTTTAGTTTGTCTCAAGAACCAAACTGTTTTTCTGAGGCTATTATATTCCATATTAGGGTTAGGCAAAATACATTTTTTTTTAAAAATTAAATAAATTTAAAAAAACACAGTAAATTATGCTGCACATGGTTCTTAAAAAGTTTCTGTTATTATCATTATGCCATAATTATCTTGCAGTCTTCCATGTTTGCAATTATATATACCTGATAATTCATGAATATTATAATCCCCACTGTGCATGTAAATTTACATGTAACTTGGTCAATTCTGTAACTTTGGAACACAATGGAGAGCAGTGTGGCATATGAACATGATAAACAATTAAACATTACTAAGGACCAATATCCCTTTTTGGGGGGACTGATATTCTTTCTGTATAGATTTATATTAGAAAGAATGAAGTTTTAACAATGAGAAACATATTAACATAATGATTGTCTTAAATTAATTTGACTTTTAATGATGAACTGTTTAGAAAAGCTGTATTGAATTATACCTTTTTAATTCCAATCTTTCAAGACTAACTGTAAGGAAAGAATAATCATTTTATCTTCCCACCCTAATATTCACCTCACTGGGAAGTACTTTCGGTTTGATGTTTTATACTTCCTGGATGCCTATCTATCAGGTCAGTGAGCATGTGCAGTGTCTGTTAGCTCTCTTTAAAATCAATGAACCATTTGTGTCTTCTTTTAAATACTTAGATAGAAGAACTGAAATATTTAAAAGGCTGAGTTATCAAACAGAGTTGTTTTTCTTCCTCATTTTATATATGGTTAAACTAGATATTTGATGTGATCATTTCTCTCATAAAGGAAAAATGATTGTTTGACAAAAATATCTTATAGTATTTATCTACCTTAAAAATTAAAATCTATATAAGGGTAATGAAAAATGAAGAGATCTCGATATAAAGTAATACTGCTTTCTACTTGTTTTCCCTAGACAATGTGCTCAGGTGAGTGCATGATGTGGCCCTTGGGCCTCTTGTTTTCTACAATTCTAGATGTAATTTCCTGTCAACTTTCAAAAATTATCTCTGTAATTACTCATCAGTAAAAATGCAATATAATGTTTCTTTGATATGAGTTGCTGCACTCCTGTAGCTAAATACAGTTTGATAATTTATTGATCATGACAACTGATCATTTAGAATTGAGTTTTCCAGACAATGCATGTACCTTCATGTTAACTAAAGGAATTCTAGAGCAGGTTATTCATGAAGCTTTTTCATCATTTTATCTGGAGATATATTTTTTTAATACATTATAGTCGGATCTATGAGCTCTTGCCTCCTAAGATTTCCCAATGGCAGAGCAGCCCTTGTGTGACAGAGGAGAACAATAAGAAGATGCTGGAGAAGATCAGACGTGAGCAGCTGGAGTGTCGACAGAAACTGGCCGAGCTTGACCTCAGGCACCAGGAACTGGACGGCATTGTGGACCGTGCCAAAAACGTCACTATAGCCCCGGAGCAAGATGTAAGGCCATTATTTAGTATAAGATGTAACTCATGGTGTTCAATCATGGTGTACGTATTTACAAATCATGTCCCACAAGTGTTGGGTGGGGGACACAATGGACATCTAAAGTTTTACTCAGGAATACATGTACTACTGATGAAGAACTGTGTAACTGTAATGACAGTTTAAAATTGTGGTCCACAGGTCTCTTGTAGTACTAATGACAGAAGTGTTATATTACAACTTTCTTCAAATCTTTTGCAGGAGAAGGATAATGAGGATGATTTGGAGTTGAGTCTGTACTGCGTCACGTGCGGGGCCGAGTTAAATCAGAAAGGAGCATTACGTCACATGGAAAAATGCTTCTCCAAGGTTTGTTAAAAGCATTTATATTAAGTCTTAAGTAAACTTTGAAAAGTTGATGTACTTTAATCAGAAATGACTACTTAGACGGTATTTTTATTATGCATGAAACATAAAGGAGTTTGACAGCAGACTCTGTCTAGACACTGTAGACATTGGTATAAATTTTCTGCATATTATTTAAATTTGTCACATCTAGAGTACTTACAGTGCAGTAAGATATACATTGCAATCTTAAATATCTGCAAATTTTTTTTACCTGAAGATTGAACAGAAAATGGGATTCCACAGAATCATGACCCTTAGAAAAAAGTATGTTAAAAGCTATACAGAAAGTCCTCTCCCTCTTTGGCTAAGAAGAGAGGTACGGTATTAAGCCAGTTTTGATGTATGCATACATATATTCTTTCTATGCTTCTTAACAGTTTGAAGCCCAGACGTCTTTTGGTTCTATCTACAAGACGAGGATTGAAGGGAACTCCATGTTCTGTGATTACTATAACACACAGCAGAAGGTGTACTGTAAACGACTCAAAGTCCTCTGTCCAGAACACACCAAGGAACCAAAGGTATTGAATGTCTCTTTCACACTCTTTATTGTAGAATAAATTTTTTGTAGAATCATTACGACAGGAAAATTCTATACTCTACCTAACTCTTAAGAAAAATTAATAGAAAAATAGTTCAGTTTCTACTAACATTCTCCTGTATAATAAATTGTGGTAAAGCCCAGACCCCTTATCAACAAAAGGGGGATTGAACTCTAAATTAGAATAACGTAATGTGTGAAATGTTTGCTAGTCATTAATTTAAATCACAAAGAGTTGACTGAGGAGACATTATATTTCAGGTTGGACCAGAAGAGGTGTGTGGCTGCCCTCTGGTGGTGGACGTCTTCACAGAGACGGGGGAAATCTGTAGGGCACCAAAGAAGAAGTGTAATAAACACTACTGCTGGGAGAAATTACGCCGAGCTGAAATCGACATGGAGCGCGTTAGACAGGTCTGAAAATTAATTAACATCTAATGGATTTAGAAACAAGGGCACCTCCAAGCGGAACATTTCCTTGCCAAGCGCATATTTACAAATCATTGTAACACCTTGATGCAAATAACACTCACTTCTGTTTTGAACAAGGACAAACTGAACAATCACTACACACACAAGCATGTTTCTTAAATTTTTTTTATGGTTAAACTGGTATCATTTAGTGAATACGCTGTATATATACCCAATCAATACAAGTTTAGAAGGTTAGGTAACCAAGTTCAAAAAGCATGCTTATGATCTTTACATTCAACCTCAGAATTAAAGATAGAATTGTACATCCGCTTTCGCAGATTTCTGTATAACTACTATTTTGAACACAGACCTCTTGACTTTTCAGTGGCTGAAACTAGACGACCTCTTTGAGCAGGAGAGGAACATCCGTGTTTCCATGGCGAACCGTGTGGGAGTCCTAGGACTCATGCTCCATCAAACCGTGGATCACGATCCGTTAAATCCAATCCGGCCCCCAAACATGGAGTAAATAAAAAACAAATGATTCCAGCAATGTGTTCTTTTCTGTTACTGATAAGATGATAATGAAATTCTTTATATCATTCCAACAATTTGGGATCATTTAAACTTAAACTGACATTGACTTGTAAATAAATAATGAAGTGGTTGATCCCATTATAAAATTTCCACTTCTCTAATTAATATACTTGAATTACATGTACATATTGTGAATTAGAATTGTATGTATATATATATCCAATTGGTTTTTTTTACTTGGTATGCTTTTTCCATCATTAAAGTATATTTCCACTGTACATAAATGATTTGTTGTTAATGAGCGAGATCATTCAAAAAATGTTCAAGATCACAAGCAACATTCAAAATGGTATTTTGTTTGACCTGTGTTTGAGAAACTTTAACCTTGTGCATGAGCGGCCAAATAGGAGCATCACAAGCACTATTAGCTAAACTCACCTTGCTATGTGCCTCTTGAAAAGAATTCACATGTAGATCACTTCATAAAACATACATGTATCTGTACACGTTCATAGAATCTATTTAAGGCTCCCTCCTTAATCCTGATACACATTTAAATAATTTGCATTTTTGAAAATTGCTCGTTTCACACGGGCGATGTGCAATTCTATCACCACTTCATCTTTGCTATCCAAGGGTTTCCGATATGCTACTCTCCTCATCAGAAACCCTTGGCTAGCAAAGATGTCGCCACTTAATTTTGATACAAAATATAATTGAGAAACACCATATTTATGTATAAAGGTTTATTTCAATTAATGCTAAACTTATTATATATTCTAGCTGTTTGACGACCAAGATATTTTCGGAGTTCACTGGATGTTAACCATGCATAGTCTAACACTTTTTCACTAGGAATCACCGAACCACCTCTGTATTCTGCTTTGTGTATAAAAATCTGAAAAAGAAAAAAATATGTTGTGGATTACTGTTATGTGTGTATTCAATTTAATATAACTAGAAAACTGACCAGTCAGCAAGGGCCCCGCTGAGGGGTAGAAATATAAGGGTGCAGCTCACTGAATTAGAGTTTTACTTGATTACATTTTTAAAAAAAAAATATATATATATGAAGATTATAAGTAAGAACTGTATTTTCCAAGATAATTCCTGAACGTCCAAAAAACCTGTAAATAGTAATCTTGTACAATTGATGTAATTACATAAAACAGGGA